ACAGATTTTCAATGTATTTGATCTTCAGCTGTTTGTCCGTGTGAGGCATAGTAACTGCTTAGCCACTGAAATTACACTGTACTTGACAAATCTACGACAACTTTGCTCTGTTAGCCAATGGGAATTTTACATTAAAAATGACATGCACGGGAAACTTTAAATGGTGATGAAGTGAATATATGTTTGAGATAAATTCATTATGATTTATCAAAACGAATTGCCTTTTATTTTTTTAAATTTTATTTTATTTTCTTGGCAGAACCGGGAATTGAACTCAGGCCCTTGAGCTTGCCAGGCAAGCGCTTATTATACTGAGCCATCTCCCCAGCCCTCGAATTGCCTTTTAGAGGGCCCTCTATTTCTTTTAGTTGATCAGGGTCATTAGCAGTGGGATTTCGATACCTGTTTTTCAAGTTGTTATCTGTGAAGAGAGGCCCGCATTATTATGATAGACATGAGAGCCTTTTTTTTTTTTTCAAATCAGTCTTATTTGTATACATAAAAATACTTCAAACTGATTGGTAAAAACATTTTTACTACTTTGAAATGGGTAAAAACACATAAAATAGATAGAACACATTTTTGGTAATAATTTGATACCGAGGTGTAGGCTCAAATTTGCTTTTACTTTCAGATGGACTGAACCCCTCCTCTATATAGTTAGAGAATAATCCATAAATTTCATAAGGCTTATCTTAACTCTATTTGCCCTTCACTACTGGGTTAAATATGGTTGAATTCAGTTCCTTTCATCCCGGTGTTTCTTTTTTTTTTTCATAAACTGTTCTAAAACCATTTAAATATTGGGGTAGAAACAAGTGACCCCAGAATGTTTTTTAATTGCAAAAGTAGCAGATCTCTTCAACTGACATTAGTGATAAGAGTGTTTCTCCGTTGCAATTTCTCTCTCCTTTCCTTTTCTCTTGGCATTTCTGTGCCTCTATTTTAGCACTCATCAAAGCACTATATACTGCTTACAGTTGCCTCTCTTTCCAGTTTTCCACTGTAATGTGACCCTGGAGGGCTGGGTCTATTTGTGACCCATCTTTCTATATGATTTAGAGTCAGAGACATGATAGCTAGAAATGTGCTCTATTTGACACAATGCTGGGAATCAACACTCAGAGCCTTATGCTCTATACCACTGAGCTCCACTCCCAGCCCTCAGTAGAGAAGAATGTGGAAGTCAATCTTTGGTAAATAATATAATGGGAAAAAATTACAAATCATTCTATTCATCTTTAGCCAGTAAAATTTATTTCTTAAGATTTTTATATTACTTCAGTGAATCAGTTGTTACATGAAAAAAAGATTCCATATACTTGTTAATTTTGTTTATAGAGTTGTTTTATATACTCCGAGGATAATTACTGATAGTTTACCATCTGTTTCTATTAATCAGTCCTCTCAATCTCCCCAATCAGTTGTTTTATGCTACATTTTATATGTGCAATAATCTCTCCCTTTCGGCTTGTGATGGTTTTGATATGTAGGGAATGTGCAATAGATTATGTGATCTTCTACAAGTTATGTTTGTGGCATAATTTTGAACTGGGTATCCTATCTTCTAAAGTATTGTAAGTGGTAAAATGAGGTGGAATTTTATTTTTTTGCCTTGTCTCTGAAACTGAGGCCCTTCACTCCGAGTAATACAGACATTTTATATTTTACTTCCATTCTAATACAAATGGAAACTCAGTTGTTTTTAAATCCTTAATGCCTCCCAGTATGCGATGAGCACTATGGTGTAGACCCCAGAATTTGGAGGCAAATATTGTAAGTACTCATACATGTACAGCTAAATTTGCAAGATGGTAAGATATTTTTATAAGTACTGTCATCTGAATAAATTGCCCATCGAAAATGTCTGTTTTTTCCAAAGGTGTGTGTGCCCCCGGCATTTGCTCACTTTTGTGACCCAGGGCTTTGACTGTAACTACTGTGTTGGGCAGGAGCAAGACTTTAGTCTGTTAAATGGAAGGCAACCCCCTAAGTATCCCTTTCATGCCCAGATATCCTGTACTCGCTCCTGCTCCACAAGATGAGGAATAAAGTTTGATCTGAAACTAGTTTGATATTTTTGAAAGCACAACAAAATTTTTAAACATTAGCAACAGGTTATTAGAATAGTCTTTGGATTGAAAAAAGACACTAGAACTTCTTTAAAAGAAAATTAACCCTCAACTTTTCAAACAGGTGACCAGGAAAGGCTATAAACTCAGAGGCTTAAGGAAGTTATCAGGGTCCGGGAGATGGCTCAGTGGAATAAGCGCTTCCCTGGCAAGCACAAGGGCCTGAGTTCAATCCCCAGTTCTGCAAAAGAAGAAAGAAAGAAAAGAAAAGAAAAGAAAAGAAAAGAAAAGAAAAGAAAGAAAAGACAAGACAAGAAATTGTCCACACATACAGAAGAAGAGATGAAAGAAACTGAACTGTTCAAGAAATATTAGGTTCAGGAAAAGTCTGTCTAAAATATGGTCAGTGCAGTGTCCAGAAAAATGTAGAATGAAAGGTAGAAAATAATTGAATTAAATGACTAAAATTATCCCAAACTGAGAAAGACGGATCAGGTTTAGGGTGCACAGTTAGCACTATATAAGATAACATGGAAATGAAATGCAAAACACCAAAGACAAAGCAAAGATCTTAAAAACAGCCACCAACTGCCTATAATATTTCTAACCCTCAAGGAGACAGTATGGAAGACAAGGTGACTTCGCAACTGGGAAGAGACAGACTCTCCATTCTGGGCCAGACCTCAAGACAAAAGAGGAAGCATATAGCTACATACTTCCCTTTGGACAGGAGCTCTCTCTCCCCCAGTAAATATATTCTGCTCATTAAAAAAAAAAAAAAAAAAAAGCCAGCCATCAAGAGACATCAAGTTAGATACATAAGGACAGGCGACAGTGTCTTTCTAAAAGGACCAGTGTCCTGCTGGAAGTGGAAGCTAACATATTAATCTAGTTTAATGTACAACTAAGGGACTTGGAGCGTGGCACTCCACTGATCAGTGGGTCTGGGGTCAGGTTGTGAGTGCCTGGGCAGCTGTCAAAAAGTGTTTCCTTCCCTCCAGAGAAACTCCCTGAGGACTCTAAACAGGCACAGGGACCTCAGTGTATGGTTGCAGCAGATGGTTAGGGTCTGCAGATGAGAACTGGGACAGTTCTCCTTTTCAGGTAATCATTTAAATAGCCCACCTGCCTGGAGTGTGGAAAACTTGGGGTACACTTCTCACTGTGGATGGAAATCATGGATTTTGTTCCACTGGTTTCTTAGTAGCACCTATAACTTTCAGCCTTGGCAGAACAAGACACGTGTCCCTGGCCTTTTATTTAGCTGCTCTGGTGGTCTGAACGAGAATTTTACATTTCAGTAAGCCAAGGAATGCATGATACATATGAGAAAATGACCATTTGTTTTCTTTTTCCTAATTTCAGTTGCACATATCATTAATTAATTAATTAATTAATTTATTTGGCACAGGGTCTCATGCAACTCCTAGGGAACCTCCTGTCCCAGCCTCCCTGGTACTAGGATTAGGATTATAGGCATGGGCCACCACGCCGGTTTTCAGTGGCCGGCTGTGGGGCTGCCATGGCATATGGTTGGACTGCCAAGCTATCTCCCCAGCCCATTAATTTTAATTTCAAAGAAAGGCTGTTCCTTACTTTATTAGTCAGTTCTTGAAATGGATTTTAATTGTCAAATCCTTTAATCAAAGGCTCCAGGAGCCTCTTTCGTACTGACCGGAAGACTCTGCACGTGAACACCCTGTCACATTGTCTTCAGGGCTTCAGCCAGGTCCCCGTGGGTTTGACGCTGTGTAGTGTTCACTCTGCGGTGTCGCTGAGGTTCTGTGTTTCTATGGAAAAGGAAGTGAGCGAAGCATCATCCCCACCCAGATGTAGCACTTCAGGAGCTGACAACTCTGCAAGGGGCCCTGCAGCCCCAGCAGCAGCAGCAGCAGCAGACCCCAGAGTCAGGACTGCAGAGACAAGGCCTGGATGGAGAGGGAGCTGGTTTCACTTGACTGCTGTACCATTGCTCAAGTTTTGGTTTTGTGCTCCTTTCACAACTTTTATATTAGTCACATATTGTCTAGATTATTATAAATAATTTTTCAATAATCATTGTGATTTATACTTATGTTAGTAAGTTTGCAGCACAGAATTACTATACTGACTGTGGGGGTTCGATATATACACCTAGCACGCCTTATTTCTTTATTTCTCCTGCCCCTTCTCTCACTACCCCAGAACCCCCACTCCATTTCTTGGTTCCCTTCCTATTTGCAAAGAAAGATGACATCCCATAATACCTGGCAAAACAAAGGTACTTGGAAAGGCTGTTAGAAAGGAAAGCACAATAGCTGCATCCCGGGCCCTGCCTCGGAGCTGGAGGCTACCTTCTCTTACAAGGACGGAGAAAGAGGTGTCAAGAAATCCCGCACATGTGCAGGCACCAGCCCATCTCCTCCAGTAGTGAGTCTGAGAGCTCGGGCAATGCACAGAGGAGGTGAGCGGGCCCTGTAGGCGGCTCTGTCTGTGGGCCTTGCCCTGTGCTGTGCAGCGTGACTTCGGTCCCAGCAGTGTCACAGATGACCCTGTGTGTCTCGTGTCACAGATGACCCTGTGTGTCTCTGAATCTTTGCCATTTAGTATTTATTAGTGAAAATAAATATACTGCTCTTTGTTTCATGCATTGAAATGGTGTTTGTTTTTCTTTAAAGCTCTTTTAAAAGCCTGTGCTGATGGAGGTGCCAACCGCTTATACGATATCACGGAAGGAGACAGAGAAAGGTACGCTTTCCTTTCGCCGGCGCCCGTACACTGTTCATGTCTGCTCATCTTTGTTTTGTCATCTATCGTTAATGGATACTGGTAATTTTCTCTTGTGTCTTTTACAGAAAGCTATCTCAGTGAGAGGAGGTTGCTTAACCATGGTATACTGTTTCTTCAAATGGAATCTGTTAGTCCATCTGTTCTTTTTTTTTTTAAGCCCCCTACTACTTCAAAGCCTCATTAAATAGCATCATCAGATATTGCTATTTGTGAGGGTTTTGAACATTGGCTAAAATAAAAGCTTCATCTAGCGCTTGGAGTTTTATTCAACTGCCTTTAAATGAATACAAACTGATCTCATATAAAAGAAATATATTCCATCCTAAGTAATGTGAGATTTTGTATTAATGTAGAGTACGGCTGAGAATAAGTTACTCTAACTTAATTACTTCTGAGTTATTTTTACATCTGTATTTAAGGGATATTTCTGGGTGATTTGCTCTCTGCACTATCTGCTTTTCTTGATCTACATGGTGAGCTATTTTTAGCTGAGAGAATATGTTTAGTGGAAACAGATTTTTAATCTAGTGTGCTGAAAACATGTTTGTAGTCCAGTCCCTTGACAAATCCAAGAATTTATGGTGTACATATAAGTAGACTAGCTATGAAATGTTGTTCCACCTCTGTCATGTGTTATTAAATATATTGGAAGGTTTATAGTTTGTGAAGTCATCTACTTGCTGCAAAAAAAATAAAATAAAAATATTATGATGCAGCATACCCTTGGTGTACGTTAAATATATGTATTTTGAAATGATATCCTTTTCTTTATGGCATCAAAATGTTTACCATCAAGTTTCTAATATTAGAGCTGCCGTTTGAAAGCAGGCGGCTGTTCAGCAGGAGGCAGGCCTGTTTCCTTTGAGATCAGCCCCGCTACTGCGCGTGCTGGGTGCCAGATACATTATCCAAAAAATGCCTTAATGGTGGTGGCCTTGGATGCAGTTTAAATTCGTCTCATGTTTTGCTCCTTTGTTTTGTGACTTTGTAAATTCCCATGACAGTATTCTCTTAAGACCTGATATGGACAATGTGAGAAAAAGATCCTTGGAAACTGTTTGAGGGCTGGACAAATAGTTTAGTGGATTAAAGCACCTGAAAGCAGGCGCAGGGGCCAGGGGTTTGATCCTCGGGCCTGCCATGTCAGCCCCGGGGCACACCAAGATGGTAATAGAGACTGGGGGTGGTGGCACACGCCTGTAATCCCAGCACTTGGGAGGCTGAAAACAGGTGGATCAGTACAAGTCTGATCTAGTAATGAGACCCTGAACACCCTGTAGACCCTTCCCTAAAAACAAACAAACAAACAAAAAGAACAATCTAAAATACGCTTTCAGCAGTTCAGGCAGGTGCACAGTGTGCTTGAGGCCCAGATTCTGGCCTGGTTTTGTGTATTCCACACCTCGGCTCTGCTTGCTGGTAAGCATAGAGTGCCAAGGACTAGACCCCTAACGCTCGGTGTGGCTTGCCAACGCGATGACACTCAGGACTGCGAAAGGGCATGCACCAAGGGTTTTCTTACTGTTACTTCTTCATAAGGACCATCTCAGCTGCGTATGAAAAAACACAGAGTTCATATTCATTATTTTCATTCGATTGAACCAGACATTAATAGGGAAGATAATTGGGAATGTAATTATTCACATCTGGGAGGAAAGCGGCCTACCGGATTGGGGGAACGAGTACCATTATCTTTGCCATTAGCAATTTCGGAATGATGATGTTTAACATTTCTCAACATATTTTTTAAGTAATCTTATAGAAGTCTTCCGAGAAGATGAATGTAATTTATCTAATAGCCGTTTGTCCATATAGGAAGATGTTCAATAAAGCAGCGTACTTTGCATTGATTTTTCTTCTTGTAATGATGTGCTTGCCGTGATTCATATTCTGAAGCCTTGGGACCCAGCAGGCCTGGGTGAGGGTAGTCGTTAACAGGGAGATGAGCGAATCTAACTGCCTCAAGTGGGAATTAAATCTTTGGAATAAATCTCATTAAATCCAAGCCCTAACCCTTTAAACTAATTGGATACAGGTGACTAAACATAATTCCTCTTTTGTATTTTCAACAGAGGAAGGATATTCGTGTGTGTTGAAGAACAGTGTGTAGTTTCTAGACTGCAGCTTGCCTAGTGTGCTTTGCTCATTTTATCTCCTTCTGTGCACTGTGAAGCTGGGGGGTGCTGCAACAAGGGATGCATTTTTAAAGAGCTAACTCCATGTAAGGACAAAACGAAATATTTATGCATGTACAATGGAAAGAAGGAAGACTGGTACGGATAGGAGCCCCAGGATAGGCTGATAGGGCGAGAGCCTGGAGGGTCGTTAGTAAGAGACTGTTCTTCGTGCTACGAAGGCTGAGGAAACATGAGGCTGGAGATGCAGTGCCTTTCCTCACTGTGCCTGTGGATGCCGCCGGGCGTTCAGAACTAGGTCTGTCTGTCCTGGAGCGCGGACCTGCAAGAGCTTTGGTAGGACAGAGGTGTGTTCCCGGCCCTGGCCTCGCCTGCTGGACGCCAGCGCAACTTCTCAGTCCCAGCAGGAAAGACAAGATTGCAGTGCAGCAGGTCATGTGGGACAGAGCCCACCAGGAATGTGGAAACATGTCAGACTACAGCGGCTCACCTAGGCAGAGACTGGGAGTCCGGTGGAGGAGACTGGAAGGGAAGGTGTTGAGGGCCTAAAGAAGGAGAGCTTTCCCAAGAGTGAGGTGCTCACCTGCAGTACATGCCCCTGGGCAGCCTCAAGGAGTGGAGACTCAAGAAGGTATTGCACGTGGCTCTTATCTGTTGGTACTGGTGTAGCATCTATTTCTTCTGAAGCCCCAAAAATCTGAGAACAGGTCCTAGAAATGCAATGCAAAGAACAGACTGAGAAGGAGAGATGGGCCTAGCACTCTTTCATTACCCACTCCGCACATACTGAATGAGTGTCCTAAAAGCACCAAAGTTAATAATAGATGAGTTCAGCCCATTGCAGGTGCTCCTCCTTTTTGGTATTGAAATCATTCCAGCTTTGGCCAGTGTGGAACTTTCTTAAGTTAGATGTCTCTTTTTAAAAGTTATACAAATAAAAGCATGTAAATTTCCGGCATTGGTAACATACAACAAAAATGGGTACCTGTGGGTATTTAATTATGTGAACATTGTTTCAGACTAATGTACGACCTCTTACCTCCTCTTCCAAGCTAAAGAATATTTCTCCAATTCCAAAAAGTCACTCATGTTCACTTCCAGTTTCTTATCCTGATGCAACAACTTTCTGATGTGCATCATTATAAACTAATTTTCTATGAATTTCTTACCAAAAAAAATCATGCAGTATGCATATTTTTGTATCTTGTTTCTGTTAATGTATTTGATATTGATTTATGTATCCATAGTTCTTTTTCACAGTCCAGTAATACTCTATTGTGTGGATGTATCACAATTATTTTACTCATTTACCCGCTGCACATTTTGAGTTAGTTTTACTTTTTGGTTGTCTTGAATAATGCCACTTTAGGGACGTGGAGATAGCTCGAACCAAGGGCAAGGACCCAGGTTTGATCCCCAGTACCACATGCCCTGCCAGCCCTGCCCTGGGTGTGCTGAGCAAGCCACCAAGACTGGGTGTGGTTTGACATGCCTGTAATTCCACCACTGGGGAAGCTGAAACAGGGATCACTACAGTCTGAGCTGTGTAGTGAGACCCTGTACCGAATACATAAAAAGTTAAATAATGCCACTTGCAATATTTATGCAAGTGTATCTGTGAGTGTGTTTTATCTTCTGTACTTTGTGAAGAATGGAGCTTCTTGTTGTAGGGTAAATTTATGTTCACTTTCTGAAAGTTAACAGGTCATCTTTCCAAGATGCTGGTTCCGTTTTCATTTCTGACAGCTGTGTTCCCATTGTTTTATTAAAAAAAAAAAAAAGATCATTTATTTATTTAGTTAGTTAGTTAGTTGGTACATGGTCTCACTACTGAGCTCAGACTCATTGTGATCCTCCTGTCTCAGCCTCCCCAGCCCTGGACTTCAGATGTGCGCCACGACGCCCAGTTTCACTGGCCAGCTCTGCGAGGAATTCAGCACCAGAGATAGAACCCAGGTCCTTGGGCTTGCCAGGAAGGTGCTTATACCCCTGAGCTGTCTCCCTGGCCCTTCCCCATTGATTCATATGCCCATGTGCAATGATTCTCTTTCACTTTTTTGGTTTTGTTTTGTTTGTGGTACCGGGGATTGAACTCAGTACCCTGCACTTGCCAGGCAGGCGCTTATCTCTTTCACTTTGCTTTTGACATTTTAGCCACTTACTGTCTGCGCATGAAGTCCCATGATCTCAATGCTTCCTTCCTGGTGATCAAAGAGATCGCATCTCTTTCCATGTTCTTCTTTGCTACCTGAATGCCTTCGTCTGCAACTTGTCCTTTTCTTCATGACAGTTACCAACATAGTTCTTGCTAATATTAGTTAAAAAAAAAACCACTGAGCCGAAAATCTAATCCAGTACTGACTGCTTGAAAGTCTTCCTACACCTTATGTATTTATTTATTTACTTTCATGCTTTTAAATAACATCTTCAATTAAAGTTTTTGCAAGCATACTTGTAAATGCTTTTCTTTTACCTGTAAAAATTCTGAAAATTGGTCCAGACAACTCTGCCTATCACATTGTGCTATTATATATTAGTGCACTGTGCTCCTTTTTGATCAACTAGCATGTTTTATTTTTATTGTAGTGGCTTTTGCTTTATGAATGCCATTCACTTTGAATTCTTAATCATGCTTGTAACATTATATTTTAAAAATTATTTTGTTAGGTTTCACTGTGTGTATTTACATATTTTAAAGCTTACCAAGAGGGCTGGCGAGATAGCTCAGTGGATTAAGCACCTGCTTAGGCAAGTGTAGGGTCCAGGGTTTAATCTCCAGCACCCCATGCCTTGCTGGCCCTACCTCTGGGTATACTGAGCCAG